CTGTCCCATGGAGCGGAAGTAGATGGGCGTGACTTCACCTCTATTGTATCTCTTTGTAGCTCTCCTTTTTGCAACAGACAATAAACTGAAAGAGAAATCAGAAAACTATTAAAAACTAGAGAAAGAGAAGGTTTGACCGAGTAGTTTCACAGATGTTACTAGTTTGCCTTGGTGTGTGTGTGTGATGCAGAAACACAGATTAAAGGTAAGAGAAAATTACAACATTTATAGAAAAAAAAAACTCTAAAAAAAATTCTAATATAGAAATATTAACATGAAATACAGATAAACGAATGATCTGACAAATAATAAAATATGTGCAGTATAGTTATTAAAGTGGAAAGCTGAGCAGATATTAAAAGAGGGATCTATGCACCGTAGCCACATTTTAGCGATGCAACAGACGATAAACTGAAGCAGTAGAAAGACATGAAACTCTGCAGAATGTGTGAAATCAAAAGGATGAGGAGCAGGAAGATACAACATCTCTCCTGCAGTAAAACATGATATGAGGGTAAAATGTGAAACCGTTGCTGAGACAGTATCTGTCTCTATTCACCTCATGAAGCCCCGCCCCTTTCCCCACTTCCTGTTCAAACGCTAATGTGTTAGCTCTTCTGGTTTAGCGCTAGCAGTTTAGTGAACAATGAGTTTAATAAGAGATCATTCACAGCAACACTGCGCTAACAAGCTAGCTAGCGAGTGTTAGCTCTCTAGCTAACAGGCTAGCCAGCGAATGTTAGCTTCATAGTTAGCTATAGCCAAATTGGTTGCTGTAATAACTAACATACAAGTTATTTTTTAACCCCTAATGTGTTAGCTCTTCTGATTTAGCACAAGCAGTTTAGTGAACAATGACTTTAATTAGAGATCATTCACAGCTACACTACGCTAAGAAGCTAGCTAGCGAGTGTTAGCTCTCTAGCTAGGCTACAAGCTAACAGGCTAGCTAGCGAATGTTAGCTTTAAAATTAGCTATAGCCAAATTGGTTGCTGTAATAATTAAAATACGAGTTATTGTTTAACCCCTTATGATTAGCCTTAAAGTGTCTACTTTCAGACAAAGAGATTCATTATTAAAACATTGATTAAGTATTTTTTAAAACATCTTTTAGGCCTTAAAGGCCTTTAGCCTTAAATCTAGCTAGCTCCTCACAGCTCCAAACATCAACGTTAATACCTCAAATATACATTTATTTAGATAAAATAATCACACATAGGGTTTGTTTTTGCCTGAAAAGCTGTTCCAACAGTTCATTTAAAAGCTTACAAACAGTTTGTTTGGTAAGTAAAGGTAGCTAAAGCTGGCGACGCTATGCTAAAGTAATAGCATTTACGCTGTAACAGGAAGAACCAACACATTAAACGGTGACGTAGAAGCTCCACAGAGCCGGGGAGCATCAGGTGAATAGAGAGCGATCATCTCCAGGTGTTTCTGGACACGTTTCAGTTTTAGTTTTAAGCACTTGCCTGAGTGTCTCTAACGAAGCTTAGTGCAGCTCGTCTGCCATCATTTAGCATTACTTACTGTACGCAGGCCCTGAGGGGCAAACACAACAACACTGGTTGAAAAAAAACACATCGTTTGGTCGTAATCATTATCGTTCTCATTCAAATAAAAGCAAACAAAGCCATGCAATCATTTTGTATCAGTTGAGGATCAGTGGAGGGTTTTTAAAGGCCTCATGTTAGTAAGTATGGCGGCCCTTAGGGGACAGTATGAGCACAAACTGAAGCTTCAAACTTCATTTTCCAGTCCATATTTTGTCTTTAAAATTGAATATAGTGGTTTCTAAATGTGTAAAAATGTGTTTTGCGCATATGCTTTCCAGTCGACATAATTACTAACATTGTCTTTAAACTCTAGCCAGATCCTGAAATACTATCCCCTATATTTTAGGTTTGTCACCTTGGTTGCTGATTGGCTAATGGTTGCAAAAACATAGTGACAAGCTCATTTTCAATATGCTTGACACTAACCAAGTCCTTAATCAAATCTTTGCTAAGGTTTTGTTTGTTTGTTTGTTTGTTTTTACTGAAAAGGGAGATTTTGAATGATTACGACCAAGCTTTAGATCCTGCAGCGGCGCCTGAACGATGCTTCAAAGATTCAATAAAAGGGAACAATATTAGCACAAACCTTGAGCTTCAAACATCATTTCTCAGTCCACATTTTGTCATTTCTTCTTCAAAATGCAGTGAACTAGATGTAGTGTTTTCTAAATGTGTAACATGAGAGGGGTCTTTGTTCCTGACACGTTCAGAGTCTGATACGCAGAGAGGACACATCGCTATGTAGAGAATATTATGTGCTTTAATGACACTAACCAAATCCTTTATAAAATCGTTGCCACGGTTTTGTTTGTTTGTGTTTTTTACTGAAAAGGGAGACTTTGAATGATTACGACCAAGCCTTAGATCCTGCAGCGGCGCCTGAATGATGCTTCAGAGAATAATAAATGGTGTGCTCACCCCTGCAGGCTGCTCAGGATGGACGCCATGCCCATCACCATGTTGGATATCGACAGAGCGTTCGCTGCATTTTTACGAGCGAATTCCTTGATCTGCTGTCCTGTCGCTTCGTCCGTCAGGAAGATCTTGTTTGTGCACTGAAAGAAACCTGAGAAAAGAGCAGAAGTTAGACGGCGTCGGGGCAAAACTAAAAACTCTAACGCTAACGGCTAAATGACCCGATACCATACCAGCTGACCTCTCGATAAAAAGGGCCGAAAGGGAAAATCCCAGTTTGAGTCACATAACATTATCTCAATGCAGTCATACAGTATTTGTCTCCATGCTACGGGATGTTGTAGCTTTATTTCTTCTCCTCTTTGCATTTATATCAACAAATTACTTTACATCAGATTCTCCTTTTCAAATTAAAAGAAGCATCACTTACCAAGACTTTGTTTTTTGGACGCAGACCGACCTTTACGATTCATTCATCCACTTTCAGATCACTAAAATGCATTTTTGTACGTTACTGTACTCGTTCATTCGCAGTCACAGCATGCAAAATGACAGAGTGCCTCATTATCACTTAGACATGTCTATGCAATAAACATCGTTATACATTTGTGTAGCTTTACTCAGCATGCATTACACTTCAGTATCAGTTAGGGCTGCACGATTATGACCAAAATAATAATCACGATTATTTGTAACTGCTTTAAAAACAATGCTTTAAAATCCTGCATAAAACAGTTCTTTACACCTCGATGACATTTCCTTTTGCTTGTCTGTTGTTTATTACTTTATGTAAATGTACGACCGGAGCACGCATTTTAGACGTCAAAATCGCTGCTAAATCGTGATAGATATTAATATTTGAATAACTGTGCAGCCCTAAAATCAAGAGATGATATTTGCAGAGTAGAAGACACCAAAAAGGATACAGTTTTCGGACGGTGAACGGGACGTTTTTAGCGCTTAGCGAAATCTTACTGGGATTGAAACACACACACACAGATACTGGTTTTGGGTACATAGAGGGGACTAAACAAAAAAACACAGAGCTGAAACTACTGCGAGAAACGAACCGGAAGTCAGCTGATCACACCTCGTTAATCAATTAATAATAATCTATTGAATCCACTGCAGCCCTGCGTTAATAAACATCCTGGTGTAATCTGCTATAAACACTAAACTGCAAGGGGTTAACTCTCCAATTGGGATTAATTATTAAGTGCATTTGCTTTAAAGAGTCCCTGTCCTCTACTTTAAAGAGTCCTCTCCTGCTGATGTTCAGGTGTATATCAGTATGTAGTGTCTCTACTTTAAAGAGTCCTCTCCTGCTGATGTTCAGTACACTCTAAAGGGAAGGGTAACACCATAAAAAAGCAGAATAGGAACTCTTTAAACTTGATACATGTGGTTGTTTTGGAGGTAAATAAGCAGTATGAAAGCTAATAAGATCTTGATTTTAGTCAAAAAGAGGCACAAAGTCTAACAGATGTTCCTCTTGAGTCATAGTGCTGCCCCAAGACAGAATGCACGGATAGATTTGTCTTTTTATAAATTTTGCAGTTGTATAGCAACCCTTCAAGTGTTTTCACCCTGAACTTCCTGTGATTCCAAAGCCAGGCGAGTTCAAGACATCTGAAAGAAAACAGCGAATGAGACACAGCAGAAAGCCAAAAACAACCAACACTTGTTCAGAGCATGCTCTCTACTCTCCCACAGCGTCACTGCAGAGAGCACGCTGACACTTTGTCTTCAAATACTGAACAGTTTCTACCTAAAGAATGTGCAGCTGAGAGAAAAGTCTGCACTCTGTCTCGGACAAAAGAGTCAGATTTCAAGCAGCTTCTGGCAGGCTGCCTAATGGCTGCAATGCATTGTGGGAAAGCCCTTGTTATTATGCAGCGCTGTGCGATGTTACCTGGTAACGACTAACGAGACTAAACAAGGACAAACAGGACCAACTGAGGTGGAAATAAACTGTTTAAACTAAGATGTATACACTTTAAAATCAGGGGATATTGCATACAAAGAAAATACATACGTCATTCTTACACGTTGTGAATCTGGAGATTAACTCACAAAATATAGAAATCAATAAAAACATTCAGTTATAATAAACAACCCAATATAAGTACATTTTAACACATATATAAACCACTTATTTGACATTAAATGATGCATACCTGTACATAATGCATAGTGTTTTAACTCTGAATTGCATGTGTAATTTGTCACATTAATGATCGTCTGGCTCTCGTGTCCCCGAGTGACAGAGGCCTTAAACATAATGATCAGTAATCAGTAATCCAGATTATGAGGAGAACGTACCGGAGGAGGGAGTCAGCAGGATCATGATCGACTGAGGCTCAAACTATCAGCTGCAGGAGGGAGGGGACAAAACACAGGAGATTTAGAGTCAGAGACACATTTAGACGACTTACAACAGATTAAAACAATAATAAAAAGACAATGTTGAACGTAATGAGCGGCAAGCTAAGCCCCTCCCCTTCAGACCGACCCCAACTATCCATTCACCACCACCAGGGTCAAGCTAAGCTCCTCCCCTTCAGACTGACCCCAACCATCCATTCACCACCACCAGGGTCAAGCTCCTCCCCTTCAGACTGACCCCAACTATCCATTCACCACCACCACCAGGCCCTCCCCTTCAGACCGACCCCAACTATCCATTCACCACCAACAGGGTCAAGCTAAGCCCCTCCCCTTCAGACTGACCCCAACTATCCATTCACCACCACCAGGGTCAAGCTAAGCCTCTCCCCTTCAGACCGAACCCAACCATCCATTCACCAACACCAGGGTCAAGCTAAGCCCCTCCCCTTCAGACCGACCCCAACCATCCATTCACCACCACCAGGGTCAAGCTAAGCCCCTCCCTTTCAGACCGACCCCAACTATCCATTCACTACCAACAGGGTCAAGCTAAGCCTCTCCCCTTCAGACCGAACCCAACCATCCATTCACCACCACGCACCACGGTAAATCTAAGCCCTCCCCTTCACGACCGAACCTAACTATCCATTCACCACCACCAGGTCCAAGCTAAGCTCCTCCCCTTCAGACCGACCCCAACCATCCATTCACCACCACCAGGGTCAAGCTAAGCCACTCCCCTTCAGACCGACCCCAACTATCCATTCACCACCAACAGGGTCAAGCTAAGCCACTCACCTTCAGACTGACCCCAACTATCCATTCACCACCACCAGGGTCAAGCCAAGCCTCTCCCCTTCAGACCGACCCCAACTATCCATTCACCACCACCAGGGTCAAGCTAAGCCTCTCCCCTTCAGACCGACCCCAACTATCCATTCACCACCACCAGGGTCAAGCTAAGCCCCTTCCCTTCAGACCGACACCAACT